ACTTTAAAAAACTCTTCATAAATATTTTTATTGGCCACATATTCTGGTCAGTGGGTCATCGTTTACTTAATTTCCCAATAGTGGATATTTATCATTGTTTCAGTTTTTCTTGTTAGAAAGAATGCTGTGATTTACCTATAGGCGAAATTTTAAATACCTTAACTGTAGACAAAAGTTAAAATATCTTACTTTTTAAAAATTTCATTGCCAGATTGCTTTCCCAAAGAATTGTGCCAATATGTGAACATGGCCATTTCATTCTACCTTTCCCATCGTTGGTTTTTATTTTTTTTTAATTGCTTGCTATTTTAATAGTGAAAAATGATATCACATTTTTATTGCTTTCCTCAATTATGTGGTTGGCCATATTCCCATATATTAATCATAGTGTTTCATATCTTGTAAACATTCTTTTTATGTCCTTTGCCCATTTATTTATTGCGAATTTTAAGATTTTTTTCTCATCAATTTTATGAGCTCCTGATTAACAACCTCCTTTACACCATTTTATTTGAATATTTTTATCAGGCTGGTTGTTTCAGCATAATGGGGATTTTGTATAGACCAATCTGTTGATAATTTCTTTGTGATTTTTTTTAATAATTAAATAGCCTTCCACCTGAAGACTTACAAATATTTTTAAATTCTTCTGCTGGTTTTATGACTTCCTTGTTCATGTTTTCTTTCACTTTGTCAGTGTATCACATGAAGTGAGTGTTAAACTGAACTTTTTTCCAATTTCCTCATCTCATTTATTGAGTCTTTCTCTTCCCCTTTGGTTTCTGATTTTTCTTTCCACAGCAAACAATGTTTGAGAATTTACTATGTGCTAGGCAGTGTTCTAAACACTTTATCTGTATTTTCTCATTTTCTTCTCACAACAACCCTGTAAGGAAATAGAGGCACAGAAACCTAATTTGCTGAAGTGACACAGCTAGTAAGTAAAGCTTGGTCACATATTCAGTTCTTCTGTGTACCTGCGCTCTCATTGTGCTGTTGTTTCTGTATTGTGGTTATCTATTTTTATGCCACTATCATTCTGTCCTAATTATTATGGCTGATATATGTTTCTCTCTCAAGAAAAGCTAATATCGGCTGGGCATGGTGGCTCACGTCTGAAATCCCAGCACTTTGGGAGGCCGAGGCAAGCAGATCACCTGAGGTCAGGAGTTCAAGACCAGCCTGGCCAACATGGTGAAACCCGATCTCTACTAAAAATACAAAAATTAGCTGGACGTGGTGGCACACATCTGTAGTCTTAGCTACTCAGGAGGCTGAAGCAGAAGAATTGCTTGAACCCAGGAAGTGGAGGATGCAGTGAGCCAAGATCGCACCACTGCATTCTAGCCTGGGTAACAGAGCAAGACTCTGTATGAAATAAATAAATAAATAGGCTAATATAACTGTAGTGTTTACTTCTTTTTCTATTCTTGCTTATGTTTCTAAGTGGATTTAAGGTTCCAAAATGTTTCTCATTGGAATATTTTTCAGAATTGCCTTAATCTATAAACTATACTAGAAATAATTGCAACTTTATAGTATCCCACCGAAGTCCTCTGTACCTTAGTGTTCGATATGTTCCAGGTGCTGACTAAATATTTGTTGAGTGAAAGAATGAATGAATGGAGAGACCTTAGTTTGTCATCTGCATCAAGTCTTAGTTTATACTTCTCATTAATATTTTTCAGATTTTTCCCTTTTGATCCTGCATATTTCATGTTAATGTTACTTCTTGACATTGTATATTTTTTCCCATAATTTTCTAATTATTTGTTGCCAATATCTGTTATTTCAGGTTTTTTTTTGTTTTGAAATTTCCCAAATATTGTTAAAAAGATTGGCAATAGTGGGCATCCTTGTTTTGATTGTGATTTTAATAGAAATATAAGTTACTCTTCACCAACAAGATGTTGGGTGGTAGTGTGTAATACATTCTTTTATCTAGTTCTTAAAATATATTTTATAAGGAATAATTTTATGAAAGATTTTAGGTTAACTCTTGTCTGACATTTTTGGGATTAAAGGAATTTGCTGTTGTTTGATAGCATCATTATGGAAGATACTGAATAGCACATATTTGTGATCTTTTAAGTTAGCCATAGAAGACATCTTCTCATTCTGCTGTGATAAGTGAATGTCTTTCTGACTTTCTTCTGGGTCCCTATTTCACTGATCTAAACCTGGTTTCTAGCAGAGAAGAGACTAAAGCAAGCACATCCTTGCATTCCCTTGCTTTCAGTATGTAGAGCTGAAATGTTTCCATATATGGGAATTTCTCATAGCATTGGGTTTGGACATACAGATGTCATAATAATCCTCACAACAACAACATTACTGCATCTAGGAATGTAGGTGAGCCAAGACACTTTGAAGGGTTTATGTGAATTATGTTATTTAATCTTCAGAAAAAATAAAACACTGTGAGTTCTGCTAGCCCATTTTATAGATGAGGAAACTGTGACTTAGAGCAGTGAAATAACTTGTCTATGGTCATACAGCTGAGAAGTGGCAGAGGCAAATTGCCTGTAAAGTAGAGCCAAGCCTTAGGGATGGATGGGTGGAGATAGATATATGTGTATATAGGTATGTGTATATCTGTACACATATGCATACATATTTGATGTGCTTGAGAGATAGATGCTGAGGACTAATACATTTTGAAATTTTTCTGGAGCCAGTAATACAGTAGTACTTAGTGGCAAATAATGAGCCTTTTTCTGTTAATAATAAGAATACAATTTCTTTGGAAGGGAATACTATCTAATTATAGTTTCCCTCAGTGTATCTCGGGGATTGGTTAGCAGATCCCTGTGTATACCAAAATCTGCACATATTCGAATCCCAAAATCGGCCCTGAGGAATGTGCTTCCTTATGGAACCTATTTATACAGTATGTGGGTTTCACATCCCACAAATACTATACTTTCAATCTGCGTTTGGTTGAAAAAAATTATAAGTGTGCCCATGTTGTTCAAGGGTCAACTTTACTTTAAGGCTAGATAATACTTCTGTCTAAGGACCTAGAGTCTGAGTAGTTGACATATATTGTACTTGTAAATTTACCAAGTTAGACTATGCATTTTGCAGACATGTCTGTAGGGTTGACATAATCCATAGGTGCTCCTAATGCAGTAGTCCGTAATTTGACTTTCTTATTAGTTTTCTCCCTAAAAATTCTAAGACAGCATTGAATTTTTGGTATCCTCAGAGGAAAAGACAGTTACCTCTAAGAAACCTACTTTCTGGGCGGGCACGGTGGCTCATGCCTGTAATCCCAGAACTTTGGGAGGCCGAGGCAGGCGAATCACCTGAGGTCAGGAGTTTGAGACCAGCCTGGCCAACATGGTGAAGCCCCATCTCTACTGAAAATACTAAAATTAGTCGGGTGTGTTGGCAGGTGTCTGTAATCCCAGATACTTGGGAGGCTGAGGCAGGAGAATTGCTTGGACCCGGGAGGGGGAGGTTGCAGTGAGCCGAGATTGCGCCATTGCACTCCAGCCTGGGGAATAAGAGCTAGACTTCGTCTCAAAAAAAAAAAAAAAAAAAAAAAACTACTTTCTGTGGAAGTCGGTGTATATGTTTTTTTAAATAATACACAAGTATATGGTAGAGTAGGGATTATCTAAGCAATTAGTCCCTATCATGGATGGTGAAGGTACTAATCAGTGTTTGGGAGGGAGTGGAGATGGTCTCCCCATATAGAGAGGTAATGCATTTTAAAATCATTTAGGGGACTTTTTCAAATAATCCTGTTTCTTCATGGTGACATTCCCTGACACAGTGAGCCAATCAGGTTTGCTAGGGCAGAAAATGTTCAAGAGCCACTGTACTAGATAGCGTAAAAGAAGACTCTTTTGTTGAAGCTTGATGGTAATTTTTCCATAATCCTGGTCTTTAAAAAGCAAAAAAAAAAAAAAAAAACCACGTTAAAATGTTGTTACTTTTCTCTCTCTCAGTAGAAATGTTCCTAAACCAGCAAAGGAGGCTATCTGAATTTTTAAAAGTTTTTATGAAGGAACATAAAAATTCCTTTCTATAGTTTTTTCCCACCTCTAGAAATGCTTGAAATGAGATTCTGCCTTACGTCTCACAAATTAAATACCACATTTGTGTCTCATCCATCTCAGTTTTCCTATCTTGCATTTTAATCTATCCTGTTTCAGGACTTCTTTTGCTGCCTTGTGGCTGTTTCTTATGTTTGTTACTAATTCATAAGGTGGCTAACTTTCATATTTGTAGAAAATTTCTCAGTGATTATCTTTTAGTTGGAGTTCCAGTGTGGTTTGATTTGGAGTGTCAAGATCTGTCCCATGCCTAGCCTTAGTCCTCAGTCTGTTTTATTGGGTTCAACACCTGGTTGTAGTACCAAATGCCCTTTTCCCTTTCTCTCTCTCCTTCCTCTCTTCCTCCCTCAGTACTGCCCAAGTTGGTCAGACTCAATGATTTTATTCTTAAGCTAATCTTATGTTTAATGTAGGTAAGTCACATTCTGATTTCTGATTTGCAAAATACAAATTTTCTTCTCCTTCATGTAGTAGGATTTTGATTTTATAAATATTTAAATTTTCCATTAATGATGTGTTAAATCTGCACTAAAACTGCTTCTTTATGTGTTTTTAAATTTTTTCATTGTGGTTTTAACACTTTTTTTTACATGCAAAAAACAAAACCATTAAACTTTTCTTATTAAAATGCAAAGCCTAGTGTCTTCTAGCTTTTTGAAGAGCTTTTGTCCATTATATAATCTGTAAAGTAGCCAAGAGTTCCTCAGAAGCAGGACATCATTTAGATTTAAAACAATTATGACTTGTCTGTAAAATAATAATGTAATATAACCATTCATGGGATGGCAGCTGCGATTTTACTTCAGTGACAAAATCCTTGGATACTACCACCGTTCTATTTTCCTTAAAGATTTTACCAAGGTACCCTAGAACAAAAATGGTGAGGTCATTTTTATTCTGATAAAGTTGATATGACTAGAAAGCCAAATGACACAGTTATGAGCATAGACCTTTTATTTTCCAGATGTTTGACAGTGTAAACATACATAAAATACATATTAAAGTTTAGATGCTTTATATTTTGTGCAATAAATTGAAGCCTTAAAAAGAAAACATTTTTTTATAAAAGAAACTCATTAGTTTACTTAATTAAGACAGTAAAATAGCAGCAAGTACCAAGGCATTGTGCATTTCTTTTATTTAAGACAAGTTACTTCATTTACATCAGAGTCAGAAATGTTAAGACTGGCTTTCTTGAATACTTAATATAGCTTGAATCACTGGTTAGATATGGACATATTTTCCCAACTGTACATCAGGGAGGAGTGCTTTCATTAGTTTCAGAAAATGCAGACCCTCAGACAGCCAGCATGACCACAACATTGAGCATTAAGAGAAATGAAGCATTTACTTTCCAAGCATTTGCCACAGAAGGTAATTGAGTCTTTACGTTTGTGGTTGTCTCTTCCCTCCGTAAGTTAAGGGTTGTGCTTTGTTGAGGCATTTCAGAGAAATTATTTGGCATGCCACTAGTGATACTTAGGGTCATGGGTGTTGGGGATGATTTTGTTGAGCTAGTGAGGCTTGTGTTTGTAACCATTCCATCTTGGAGATGAATAGTTAGAGTTGCAGCTGCTGCTTCATGTGAATTGATAGTCTCTGTGGATGTATCTTCTGGATAGGGCACAAAAGCCTTATCAGTGCTAGTAAAGGTGGTGTCTTTGCTTAGAGTGGCACCAAACGTTGTTTCCTTTGTTCGATATTGTTTGGGGATTTTGGTCACTTTGGGTTGAGTTACCACACTCAGAGAGTTAATGGTGTCCACTGTCTGCATCCCACTTACAGTGAATAAGCTTGAGGTAAATCCAGAAGGTGTGGGATATATGTTATGTTCCTTTAAAGATGATATTTGGGTAGAACATGGAGTCCCTATCACTTGGGCTTTTGTTTCCATCATCCACTTCAGTAAGTAAGTAATGTTTTGTTTATGGTCACATGACCACCTGTTATTGTAAAGGGTTATCTCTTGCAACTGAAAGAGCTGGTCAAAAGATTGGTCTGGAATGAATGTGAACTTATTGTTGTGCAGGTAGAGATGCGTGAGATTTGTCAGGTTTATTAATGTACCTGGAAGGATTTGTGTCAAAGAATTATTAGACAGGTCCACGATATGTAGTTTGAAAGGCATGTTGGTTGGAACTGTCCAAAGTTTGTTACTACTGAGGTTGAGAACCTCAAGACTTCTTAGTGTATTTTTAATGAGAACAACCTTTTCCAGCATATTCTTAGAAACATCCAGATATTTAAGATTCCACTGATAAGCAGTATCAGATTTGTCAAGAAGTTTAATGTTGTTGTTAGCAGCAGACATGTTCCACAGAGACCGAGGTAACTGAGCAGGCAGGCTTTCAAGCCTGTTGTTTGAAATGTCCAGGGTCCTCAGATTGGTATATTGGGTTAACTGGTTATGCAGATCAGTAAAGTGGTTATAAGACAGGTTTAAATGTATAATATTCTCTTGCAGTCCAGATGGTAATGTAGTCAAGTTTCTACCTGAACAGTCCACATGCCTGTGCCTTTCTGTGCATATACATTGCAGAGGACAAATGCATAAAATACCAGGTGTGAGAAACAGAAGGATGAACAGGCAGAGAGACATTTTCAATATCTGATATTCCATCAAAGCCTAGAAACAAACAGATACACCCTTCTTTTAATATGCAAATACAGTTTAGGCATCTGCATGGGTCACTTAGCATTAGGCAAAATTTTCAATAAACCTCGTTGTTGTTGAGTCCTTTTATAATTGTTCCAGTGATTAAACTAACAAAGCTCCCCTTCATTTATAGTCCAAATGCTTAATCCTTCAATTGGGCTATGTGGTAGAGAGAGACTCTCTCCCTACTCTCTCCTGCATTTTCTCCTTTATTTTCTCTCCCCCTCCCCCCTTTTCTAACCATATTCTTTCTTATTTATCTTTCCAGAGCCTTAATATGATAAAATAGCATTCTTTGCAAATAAAGAGTTGCAGTTGTAAGCTATTACTATTTTTGATGATATGCTTTCTTACTCAGATGAGAAAAAATGGCTGTCGTGTCTTTTTTTTTTTTAATCTCTGCAGTAATGTAATTCAATGTGTGTGTATAGGGTAGATTTTATTTAGATATTAAAGCAGTTCTTCGAAATGTTATCTTTTTGTTTTTAGGATAAATATATCTTTGTAAAAGGCACTTGAAAAATCCAGACCAACACTGTACCTATTAACCTCACATTTTATAAAGTGGTTTTTTCTGTATATTTCAGTGCCCATTTTAAAGGAAAACAATATATTTACAAAGTGAATGAATATATAAAAAATATCCCTCAACTGACACTGCAGCAAATTTCTGGTGCATGCACTTGCTATTGAATATATATTTAATCTTAACGTTGACTTTTTCTTAAAAAGGAAAAAGATTCCAAAGTCAGCCTTTTACTGATTTAAATAACATCTTACCGTAGTGTCGTCTTCAACATCAGCATCTCATTTTCTCTGGGAAACTTAAAGCTTAAAGGTCGTCTTGTTCTGGAGAGTCGGAACTGTTTCTGGCTGTGGGCTGTGCTTGCCTGCTCAGCTGCATTGTGTTGCTGTGAGCTGAAGCTCTGCAACCACCTGATCAGTACCACATAGGAGGACTGCAGAGCTGTCGCTGGTGCTGACTCAAATTTATGGTGCACACGCAACAAAAAGGACAATTTTTTAAAAAATTTACGGCATCAAGTGTACCTATATATCTGATTTGCTATAGGATGGGATACCTTATGCACATTAGAGTTGGCCCTTACTCCTTTCTATGTATTTGTCTGAGATTGGGTTCCATATTTTAACATTTGTCTCATTAAGAATCTTTTTAAATACCTCTACTCTTTATCCTTTTTACATGTTGAAAATGAATTTGACCTTCCTCATGGATAGTTTTCTATGATATTAGTCCCACTATTTTTAACTCCTGCCTTTTTATATTCCTTTCTAAAATGGTATAATTTTCATGTCACATTTTTAATATTAAAAAAATCTGTTCTCTGATTTTTATGTCTTCCTCCAACATGGTGATTATTATGTTTAATCAGCTTTTCAAATTTATCAACCACTTAAATGTGCCATCTTCCCTCTTAGGATGTATAGAATTACTGAAATATGATTATTTTTTCTTTATCTTTCTGATACAATGGATCATTTGACCAAGGCTATACACAAGCCAGGATACATTTGGAAATTAGCATCTTATACTTTAGATTATCACTTCCTATGGTAAAATAAACATGTTTTATTTTATATATTTGGGGTTAAAGTTTTTTTTCTTTATGAAACCTTGGATAGTAAGTGGATATGAGTATTGTTTTTTCCAAAGACATTTTTGGTGCTATATGAATGACCATTTATTTGATTTTATGTTTTAAGAATAACAGTATCAATTTAGGCGATTTCAGAGTATTGCACATTTCAGCTTTCTGGGAAAGTAGTTTATAGTTTTAAAATTACATGAAATAATGTAAGAGGAAAATTTTTCATCATGAATTTTATAAAATGAGGTCAAATTTATGATAAATTTTGCTCCACTCTTCAGTGGACTGCTTGCGTAAATCTGTTAAAACACAAATCTGATTTCCAGAATGGCCAGTTTACTTTAAAGCAAGCAAATAAAGTTATGGTATTTCGTTACCAAGTGGCACCATTTAAAAATGAGTAATATTTAGCATATTATATGTAAGGAAAATCCCTTTATGCCTTGTTACTAAATCATTTGTTTTTTCTCTAAATTATATTAGCATTATTTAGATTATACCACAAATAGAATTTGTTGTATTAAAATTTGAAGTTTATTTTCTTTTTTCTTTTTTTTTTTTTTTT